TTAAAGGGTAAATTTTGTGGTATGTGAATTATATATTAATAAAGCTATAATAATAAATACATCTTAAAAGAGATCATCTGGGCAAAATTATTTATTTCCCCAGGACCCTGCATTAGATGATGGAAATGCCAGGTAATCATCATATGCTTGTGACCCTGTGAAGTGAGTCCATTTGGATAGTGTTTAAAGCACATTGGTTATAGGTGTTATGACATAAGAATATTTACATTTGGCTGGATGTGGTGGTGGCTCACATCTGCAACCTCAGCACCTTGGGAGGCTGAGGCGGGAGGATCACTTTAGCCCAGGAGTTTGAGACTGGCCTCAGCAACATAGTGAAGCTTTGCCTCTACCAAAAAAAAAAAAAGTCAACTTATGTCATTCTTCTTAAATCTTTTAAAACAGCTTCAGAAGTGTATAAGATCAGCTTTATCTTTCCAAATGGAGACAAGTATGGTAAGCATACACTTCAGTTACTTTTTCTGTACAGAAAATTAAATAGCTTAAGAATAAAAAAATGAGACTGTTAAATTTTATAAAACTACTATTGGAATATTAACTTTATTAACCAAAATAACAGAAATCCTAATAGATTTTAAAATTAAAACTTCAGTGTTAACTCTAGATGGTATGCCTTGGAAACCTATGGGATCTGTCAGTCTTCTTGGCCCATGAGTCTCAATTGTTACAAGATGTTCTGCGTTCACAGATTTACTCATCTCTGGTCTCACTGGTTTTAGTGCTAGGGAGCTGAAAAAACCCAAGAGATGTAGTTGCAATTAGGCCTAGACAGAACTATTCTCATTTATAATCTTCATTATTTCTCCCTTGTTCAGATGGTGACTGTACAAGAACATCTTCTGGAACCTATGAGAGAAATGGAATAGGTATTCATACCACTCCTAATGGGATTGTCTACACGGGAAGCTGGAAAGATGACAAGGTATTATTGTTGTTTTTAATACTGGCAGTGAATAAATAACTTTGTGGGTTAAATGATTCCAGGCATTGCACCATTAATCAAAAACTCCTATAATGAGTAGACTATATAATAAAAATAACAAATGATCATATTAACATGTATTAACTTACAAGTAATATTGAACTCATTGCAGTGAGGTAATCATCATTATTATCTTTCGCATATCCTATTCACTGAATAAAGCTGAATCCATTACATAATTTTCTCATTTAATTCTTATAACAACTGTATTATATAGGTACCATTAATACTCCTATTTTACAAATGAGGAAAATCAGGCTCAGGTTTTTTGTCCAGCTATTAAATGATAAACAGGAAAGTGAACCCAGGTCTGCTCGAATCCAAATTTGAATTCTTTTTAAAGACAATTTTATTTCTTTTTTTTTTTTTTTTTTGACAATTTTATTTCTTTTCTTTTCCTTCCTTCCTCCCTCCCTCCCTCCCTCCCTTCTTCCTTCCTTCCTTCCCTCCCTCCCTCCTTCCCTTCCTCCTTCCTTCCTTCCTTCCTTCCTTCCTTCCTTTTTTGACAGAGTCTCGCTCTGTCTCCCAGGCTGGAGTACAGTGGCATGATCTCGGCTCACTGCAACCTCCGCCTCCCAGGTTCAAGTGATTCTCCTGCCTCAGCCTCCCGAGTAGCTGAGACTACAGTTGTGTGCCACCACACTCAGCCAATTTTTTATATTTTTAGTAGAGATGGGATTTCACCATGTTGGCCAGGATGGTCTCACTCTCCTGCCTGACCTTGTGATTGCCCGCCTTGGCCTCCTAAAGTTCTGGGATTATAGGTGTGAGTCACCATGCCTGGCCAAATTTGAGTTCTTAGCAATTACTTTTTACTGGTTTCCTGAACTAACTAAGCTAGTTGCCCTTTAAGATTTCTGATACATTTAGGGTATCTTGATGACCCCTATTATTTTCATCATGGACCCCCTGATGTTCAGATGTCCCAGATCCAGAACATTTGATTTAGTGGGCTTCACAGATAGATCCAGGGTGAAGAAAAATGACAAAAATGTTATCTTAATGCTATCAAAATAAAGGATGATATAAAGTTGATTAATAATTAGCAGGTGATAGACTTATATTTGTACATTTTTGAAAGGTTCTCAGGAAACTGAAGATTAGTTTCTAAGGTAATTATCTTTGTTACAAACAGATGAACGGTTTTGGAAGACTTGAGCATTTTTCAGGAGCAGTATATGAAGGACAATTTAAGGATAACATGTTTCATGGCCTGGGGACTTACACATTCCCAACTGGGGCAAAATATATTGGAAATTTCAATGAAAATAGGTAAGGTTAAATTTAAAAAAATTCACTGTAACTCTAAAAAGTTCTTTTCTGGCATGTGTGCTTAAATATTTATTTATTTATTTATTGAGGCAGAGTCTTGATCTGTCATCCAGGCTGGAGTGCAATGGAGTGATCTCGGCTCACTGCAACCTCTGCCTCCCAGGTTCAAGTGATTCTCCTGCCTCAGCCACCCAAATAGCTGGGACCACAGACATGCACCACCGCACTTGGCTACTTTTTGTATTTTTAGTAGAGATGGAGTTTCACCCTGTTGGCCAGGCTGGTCTGGAACTCCTAACCTCAAGTGATCCGCCTGCCTCAGCCTCCCAAAATGCTGAGATTACAGGCATAAGCCACCATGCCTGGCTGCTTAAATACTGTAGTTAATTCTAAGTATTTTTTATAATGTTATCTAGTTTCTAAAAATCACTGGAGGCCAGATATGGTGGCATGGCACCTCAAAAATCATTGATGGTCAAGAAATATTTGTTGAATAACTAAAGCAATTAAGCTAAATAACCAATGTAAACATTTCATTTTTAAAAAACTCATTGTTTTGGTTTTGTATGAATTTAGATTATGTGATCCTAAAATCATGGACACCAAATAATTGTGTTTGTTTGGAATAGTATGTGATTTTTTTTTTTTTTTGGTAGGTTATTAAAGCAGGATGCTGGGTTTAAAAGTAAAGCTTGAAAGTAGAAAGATGTAATGCTTCAGACTTAGTGTACATTATGCTAGACAATCTTATATCTGGACTGTAAATTATTCATCTTGGTTAATGAAAAACTTATTTTTTACTATTGCAGGGTGGAAGGTGAAGGAGAATATACTGATATCCAAGGACTAGAATGGAGTGGTAACTTTCATTTTACAGCTGCTCCAGACCTGAAATTAAAGCTTCACATGTAGCTGTTCTTCACATGTAGATATAATGTTACATTAAAGTTTAAATGTAGTAATTGAAGCTTTCAATTGTAAGGAAAGCAACTAAATCTGCTCTTGGAAGTGACTTCATACAGTACCCCTATAAATTTGCCAATAAAACCATCACTTACACCTTTTTGAACTTCATTTTCGTTGTTTTATAATTAGTTTAAAATAAATTAGGTGATTCAATTCAGTCTGCTTATTATAATAACTATGACAGAACCATCCAAATCTTGGCAAAGTTGATTTCCGAACCTCTGAGTTTTGTCATCTTTTTTTTTCCCTAGTTTGTGCTGTGTATCCCAGGTGACATCCACCCTCTTTAAAAAAAAATTTTTTTTAGGCTATAATACATTTATTATTTTTTAACTTTTATTTTAGGTCCAGGCATACATGTGCAGGTTTGTTATACAGGTGAACTCATGTAACAGGGCTTTGTTGTGCAGATTATTTTGTCTCCCAGGTACTAAGCATAGTACCCAATAGTTATTTTTTCTGCTCCTCTCCCTCCTGCCAACCTCCACCCTCAAATAGCCCCCATGTCTGTTGTTCCTTTCTTTGTGTCCATGAGTTCTCATCATTTAGTTTCCACTTACAAGTGCGAACATGTGGTATTTGGTTTTCTGTTCCTGTGATAGTTTGCTAAAGATAATGAACACAATTTTAAGTGTACAATACATTATTGTTGTCTATAGGTACAGTGTTGTACAGCAGATCTCGACAGATTATTCATCCTGCTTGACTGAAACTTTATGGCCTTTGTTTAGTTACCTCTTATTTTCTCATCACCCCAGCCCTTGGTAACCTTTATTCTACACTTTGATTCTATGAATTTGACTATCTTATTTTATTTATTTATTTTTTTTCAGATGGAGTTTCACTCTTGTTGCCCAGGCTGGAGTGCAATGGCATGATCTCGGCTCACCGCAATCTCCGCCTCCTGGGTTCAAGCCTCCAAAGTAGCTGGGATTACAGGCACACATCACCATACCCAGCTAATTTTTGCATTTTTAGTAGAGATGGGGTTTCACCATGTTGGCTGGGCTGGTCTTGAACTCCTGATCCACCTGCCTTGGCCTCCCAAAGTGCTGAGATTATAGGTGTGAGCCACCCTGCCTGGCCGAATTTGACTATTTTAATACCTCATACTTTTAAGTGGAATCAGACAGTACTGGTCTTTCTGTGACTGGCTTATTTCACTTAGAATAATGTCCTCATGGTTCATCCATGTTGTCACAAATTGCAGGATTTCTCTTTTAAGGCTGAATGGTATTCCATTGTATGCATATACCATACGTATTTTCTTTATTCATTGTGGTGGGCATTTAGTTTGTTTCCACAGCTTGGCTATTGTGAATAGTGCTGCAGTGAACATAGGAGTGCTAATATTTGAGATCTTGATTTCTGTTCTTTTTTTTTTTTTTTTTTTTTTTGAGACAGAGGAGTCTCACTCTGTTGCCCAGGCTGGAGTGCAATGGTGCAATCTTGGCTCACTATAACCTCTGCTTCCTAGTTTCAAGCGATTCTTGTGCCTCAGCCACCTGAGTAGCCAGGATTACAGGTGTGTGTCACCACACATGGCTAATTTTTTGGTATTTTCAGTAGATATGGGGTTTCACCATGGTGGCCAGGTTGATCTTGAACTCCTTGCTTGCCTGGCCTCCGAAAGTGCTGGAATTACAAGCATGAGTCACCATACCCGGCTTCAATTCTTCTAGAAAAAAACATCGAGAAGTAGGATTTCTGACTCATATTGTAGTTTTATTTATTTATTTTTGTTATTTATTATTCTTATTTTAATATGGACTGCTTCACAAATTTTCAGGCCATCTTTGTGCAGGGGCCACACTAATCTCTGTATCATTCCAATTTTAGTATATGTTCTGCTGTAGTGCACATGGTAGTTCTGTTTTTAATCCCTTGAGGAACCTCCATAGTGTTTACGGTAGCAGCTGCATCATTTTGCATTCCCAGCAACAGTGGGCAAGTGTATGACCCAGTTCTTCCCACTTACTTTCTATGCCCTCACTGAAAATCACAGAGTACCTTAACTGCTCTGTGACCCAGCTGGCTACAGGCTTTTCTCAGCAGGCTTGTACCCAAACTGGGCCTTGAACATTCCCACGCACTGAAAAAGGTATTTGGGTTGTTGCTCAAAACACTGAAACTGGCCCCCATCCCTGAGCCAAATTTCTCAAACTGTCATAGAATCTCCAGACTCGGAGCCCCTTGCTGTAGACATAACTGGCTAGAACACCCTTTTCTCTCTCAGTGATTATTGCAGCACTCAGTAAGGAAGTTTCCCTAATACATTCTTTGGACCCATAACCCTAGACTTAGAGTTTTTTCCTTTGGTATCCCAGCCAGCCTATTTTCCTTGTGGGAAATCCCCCTGTTACTGCTATTGGGGTGATTCCAGCCGAGGATTTGAGGGTTTAGAGGGACAAAATAGCAAGGGTTCAATTTCTCCACCTCCTTAGCATTTGTTTTTGTTTTTGATGATAGCCATCCTCACCAGTATAAAGTGGTATCTCATTGTGGTTTTGATTTCTATTTCTTCAATCATTAGTGACATTGAGCATTTTTCCAAATACCTATTGACCATTTATATGTCTACTTTGGAGAAATGTCTGTTCAGTTCCCAACGCATTTTAAAATCAGGTTATTAATTTTTTACCATTGATTTGTAAGAATTCCTTATATATTTTGCAGATTAAATCCTTATCTATGATTTGCAAATATTTTCGCCCATTCTGTAGGTTGTTGCCTTTTCACCCTGTTGTTTCCTTTGCTGTGCAGAAGATTTTAGTTTGATGTAGTCTTACTTGTTTATTTTTTGTTTTGTTGCCTGTGCTTTTAGTGTCATTATCCATGAAATAATTGCCAAAATCTATGTCATGAGATTTTCCTCTGTTTCCAACAACACATGGAAAGGGTCATATACCATGACCAAGTGAGATTTATCCTGGGATGCAAGGGTAGTTCAACATACGAAAATCAACTAATGTGATATATCACATTAACAGAGTAAAGGATAAAAATTATATAATCAGCTCAACAGATGCAGAAAAAGCATTTAACAAAATTCATTACCTTTTCATCATTTTTAAAAAAACTTGACAACTTAGGAACAGAAAGAAATTACCTAAACATAACAGAGGTCATATATAAAAAGCTCACAGCTAACATCATACTCAATGGTGAAAAACTGAAAAGCTTTTACTCTAAGATGGAATACAAGGCAAGGATGCCAACTCTTGTCACTTCTATCTTTAAAATAGTGTATCTCTATATTAAAGGAGACTATCAAGAAAATGAAAATACCATCCTCACAATGGGAGAAAATGTTTGCAAATCATATCCGATTATCAGAAATTTGCTTAATATAGTTGCTGCCTCAGTGTCTATTTTTAGGCCTGATATAAGTTATCTGAAGCCCATTCATATCCCATTACACTTGGCCTAGTTAAAACTTTCCTTCCCCTTGTAGTTGTTTGCAGTACAGCCCACTTGCTCCTCACTCTGCTGACCCAAAACCCAGCACATCCCACAGTTGCTGACAATGATAAAACCTCAAGGTCAACATAAGTCATGCAAAAAATAAGTTCCCCCTTTCCACCTGTTTTCTTTAAACCAGCCAATCCACAAACCCAAAGTGAAAGCCTAAGGGATAACATCCATGGACCTAAATAAAGGCGTAGTTCTGTGGTCCTCCCTCTCACCCCAAACTCACTGGTTGAGCTCCCTGCTACCTCCAGACTTCCAGAAACCATAGCAATAAAAATTATGACACTGATAAAAGTCTAATTTCCAGAATTTAGAAAGAACTTTTACAACCCAATAATAAAAAATAAATCAATTTTTAAAATGGGCAAAGAGGCTGGGCATGGTGGCTCATGCCTGTAATCCCAGCACTTTGGGAGGCCTAGGTGGGCGGATCACCTGAGGTCGGGAGTTTGAGACCAGCCTGGCCAACATGGCAAAACGCTGTCTCTACTAAAAATACAAAAAGCTGGGTGTGACGGCAGGCACCTGTAATCCCAGGTGCTCAGGAAGCTGAGTCAGGAGAATCGCTTGAACCTGGGAGGCAGAGGTTGCAGTGAGCCAAGGTCACGCCATTGCACTCCAGCCTGGGCAACAGAGTGAGACTTCATCTCAAAAAAAATCTCAAAAAAAAAAAAAAAGGGCAAAGAATTTGAAGAAGATATACAAACACTCAATAAGTAAACATAAAGTTGCTCAACATCCTTACTCTTAAGGGAAGTGCACTTTTTTTTTTTTTTTTTTTTTTTTTTTGAGACAGAGTTTCGCTCTTGTTACCCAGGCTGGAGTGCAATGGCGCGATCTCGGCTCACCGCAACCTCCGCCTCCTGGGTTCAGGCAATTCTCCTGCCTCAGCCTCCTGAGTAGCTGGGATTGCAGGCACGCGCCACCATGCCCAGCTGATTTTTTGTATTTTTAGTAGAGACGGGGTTTCACCATGTTGACCAGGATGGTCTCGATCTCTTGACCTCGTGATCCACCCGCCTCGGCCTCCCACAGTGCTGGGATTACAGGCGTGAGCCACCGCACCCGGCCCGGAAATGCACTTTAAACCCACAAACCCACCATGAGATACCACTTCACACCAACTGGGATGGCTATTTTATTTTAAGTTCTGGGATACATGTGCAGGATATGTAGGTTTACTACATAGGTAAATGTGTGTCATGGTTGTTTGCTGCACTTATCAACCTGTCACCTAGGTATTAAGCCCAGCAAGCATTAGCTATTTTTCCTGATGCTCTCCCTTCTCCCACTCGCCCAACAGGCCCCAGTGTGTGTTGTTCCCCTCCCTGTGTCCATGTGTTCTCGTTGTTCAGCTCCCGCTTATAAGTGAGAACATGCATTGTTTGGTGGGATGGCTATATTAAAAAAAACGAAAGACAATACAAAGATTGGCAATGATATGGGGAAATTTGAACCCTCACACATTTCCAGTGGGAATATAAAATGGTGCAGCTGCTGTGGAATATAGTTCCTCAAAATGTTAGACATAGAGTTACTACACGACTCAGCAGTTCCTAGGTATGTTCCCAAGGGAATTGACTTGTACACAACATTATTCATTGCTAGAGTCTGACTGTGTCCCTCCAAAATTTATGTTTATAGCTAATCTCATACCTATAATCCCAGCACTTTGGGATGCCAAGGTGGGCGAATCATTGAAGTCAGGAGTTTGAGACCAGCCTGGCCAACATGGTGAAACCCCTTCTCTACTAAAAATACAAAAATTACCGGGCATGGTGGTATGCGCCTGTAATTCCATCTGCTCAGGAGTCTGAGGCACAAGAATCATTTGAAACTGGGAGGCGGAGGCTGCAGTGAGCCAAGACGGTGCTACTGTACTCCAGCAGGAACAGCAGAGCCAGACTCTGTCTACAAAAACTAAAACTAAAACACACATACACGCAAAAACAACAGCAACAATAAAAAACTAATCTCTACTCTGGTAGTAGAGGCCTTTAGGAGGTGATTATGTTATGAGGACAGAGCCCTCATGGATGGGATGAGTGCCCTTATGAAAGAGATGTGAAGGAGATTGCTTGCTGCTTCTATTACAAGAGAATGCTGCAAGAAGGTGCCGTCTTTGAAGAAGAGAGCAAGCCCTTACCAGACACTGAATCTGCTGGTGCCTTGATCCTGGACTTAACCACCTCCAGAACTGTAAGCAATACATTTCTGTTGTTTACAAATTACCCTAAAGTGTTTTGTTACAGCAGTTCAAATGGACTATGACATTTATAATAGCTTCAACTGGAAACAATCCAACTCTCCATCAACTGATGAATATATAAACAAAATGTACACATAATGGAATATTATTCAGCCATAAAAATATGAAGTACTTATACTACAACATGGATGAACTTCAAAAACATTGCACTGGCCAGGTGGGGTGGCTCATCCTGTAATCCCAGCACTTTGGGAGGCCAAGGTGTATGGATCGCTTGAGTCCAGGAGTTTGAGACCAGCCTGGGCAACATGGCAAAATCCCGTCTCTACAAAAAATACAAAAATTAGCCAGATGTGGTGACACATGCCTGTAGTCCCAGCTACTTGGGAGGACTGCTTGAGCCCAGGATGCAGAGGTTGCAGTGAACCAAGATCATGCCACTGCACGCCAGGTTGGGCGATGGAGCCAAACTTCATCTCAAAAACAACAAACAGACAACATTGTACTAAGTAAAAGGAGCCAGTCACAAAAGGCCACATATTGTATGATTCCATTTATGTGAAATGCTCTGAATAGGCAAATCCTTAGGGACAGAAAATAGATTGGTGGTTGCCAGGGGAGGAAGGAATTGGGAGGCATGAGGTTTCTAGAATTAGACAGTGGTGATGGTTGCACAGTTTTGAAAATATGTTAAAAACCACTGAATTGTTCACTTTACAAGGACAAATTTTATGTATGGTATATAAATTATGTCTCAATTTCTTAAAAAGTAGATCTGTGTGTTGTCATATAGTCTATATCCAGAAAACCTCTTTACTTTTCACACAAAATAATTTAAAAATTATGTCAGCTACATTTAAAAAATTACAATAAAGACCTGAATGTTTTTGCTGAAGCTCTATTATTCTAAAACTGACAAAAAATACTGTATGCAATAAATAACTTCTTTGTCATATTTCTCTATTCAAAATCTTGTGAATATTTGTATTCCTCAACATATTATAGCCAAAAAATATATATCTATTTTTTGCTGTACTGGCACAAGTTTGGGTTGCACTGTCTTCTAAAATGTTAAAATAAAAATGGCATTTTTGTTGGTTTCTCATAATAACAGCTTTATGTTTAATTTCAAAAGGACCTATTTATAAGTGTTCAAAGATACATTTTAAGAATTGGACGTTTTTTGCATAGGTTCCTTAACATTAGCTGGCATGGCTTTAGAATTAAATATTATTATGTGGAAATTTGTAAAGAGATAAATACTGGACAAGTTAAAATAAGGTGAGAAGATGTTTTCAGGAACCAGGACATATAATTCTAATTCAAAAACTTCTGGAAAATATAGAAAATTATTTGCTTTGCTGCAAACTAAATTTTCCCTATTTTTTTTCAATTCATTTAAGGTAGCAAGATATATATTTTACTCTTAAAATATTTAACTTTTATTGCTATGTTAATAACTTTTCAATGTACAATTTTTCAATTTTCTAATATACCAAAGATTTTCCTCTTAAATGGGTTTCTTCCTTTTACTCATTGAAACTAAATGCAGCTCAGTTATTTGATTAGTTGATGCTAGAATTTGACCTGGAGCTTATATAATTAGAAGAGACATTAGTTTTCCTCATTTAAAAGCCTGGTTAGCATACTACGGTCTCGTTTCAGGGGAAGTCAAACCTCTCTACTGCTTCTTTTTATAACCTTTAAGTTAATTCAGAACCCAGATAAGCCTTGATCTGAGGATGATATAACCACCACAAGCAACATGGGGTAAGTATGTGCTTTTATATGCTTTAAGGGGCACTGAAAGGGGAAATAATTTTATAAGAGATGAAAGCCCATCAATCCTTACCATATGGTGTATCAATTTAAATTCAATATATGCTAACATTTATTTAAGGTAGCCATTCAAAGAAATAACTTTTATTTAAAAGTTATGACAATTTGTAAAACATTCATTTATTTCCTTGCTTAATTTTTATATGATGTCTTAACTGCCTTTGCAGGTTATCAGTAAACTGGAGACAGAAGTTGTTCTGCATATTAATAAATATAGTTGAAGCCGAGTTAAATTTTGAGAGCAATCTTAAAGAAAGGATGATAGGCAGCATAAATCTGACATGGACATGCCTCTTTGGGATTAATAATAATGAAAGAATGAAAAAGATTAGGGATGGAGGGAAATTGGTTTGTTCCTTTCTAACAGAAGAAAGACAGAAAAATCTTCACCACTCGCCCCTCTATGTACAGAACAAAAAACACATCCTGATTGAAAATGTATACTGATTAATTACATGGGGGCTTTATTGGTGAAACCTAATTCTAAACACTTCATGGGGCTTTGGTGTGTAATGAGAAGAACTGAGTTTCACTTGACACTGTCTTTACTTAGGTGAGAATAGCATTCTATTATAATTAGTATTGGAATTATGTGAGTTTTTATATGCTGAAATAGTGTTCTGTCTTTATACCACCCTTTTATATTTTTTAATAGCCTCTTTTAATACAAAATCATATTGCTGTAAATGGTATAGCTATTTCACTGAAGTCTACTTCTGAAGGATTCAACACAATAATCAGAAATTTATACTAGAGAAAAAAATTTTTGATACATATTTTTTCTAAACATTTTTCACAAACCGAATTAATGTCTATGATTTTCATACCATGGGCTCTGAAAATGCAATCTAAACTCATTTGAAAACTCAGAGGCTTTTCAAAGAAGATAATCATATTATTAGGTTTTTTTTCTTTTTTCTTTTCTTTTTTTCGACAAGGTCTCACTTTGCCATCTGGGCTCAAGCAATTCTCCCGCTTCAGCCCCTTGGGTAGCTAAGACCACAGGCACTAACCACCACAGCTGGCTAATTTTTGTATTTTTTGTAGAAATGGTGTTCTGTCATGTTGCCCAGGTTGGTCTTGAACTCCTGATCTCAAACAGTCCTCCCACTTCGGCCTCCCAAAATGCTGGGATTACAGGCGTGAGCCACCATGCTGGCCTTACTGTTAACTTTTTCTTTATTCCTTTTATTTACCTTCCCTTTTCTCTGTGTATAAGGGTGTACTGCAACATAGCAGGCCAGTAGTAAACCAAGCAATGTGGATACAAAGATCAACTGATCTTCCTCCTCATCTTCCTCTCCTTTCTTCCCTTCCTCTCTCCCTTTTCCTTCCTTCCTTTTTCTTTAATGACAGCAGTTCTCAACCCTTTTTGGTGTCAAGAATTGCTTTCAGAATCTTCAGAAACCAGTCCACCTTTCTGCAAAAAAAAAAAGTAAAATCATACAAAATTTTGCATACAATTGTAGGAGATTTACAGGTGACGTGAAACCCTATTCCCAGGACCACAGGTTAAGACCTTTGGATTTTGATTTTAGGACTACAGTATGATTTGTTCAATATTTCTCTTTGTTTGGATTTTTATAAAATGTAAGAATCTTTAAGTTCATAATTCTTGCTAATCTTCTCAAGGACAGTGTGGAAGATTCTCCCCCCACTCCATACACACACACACGCAATTTACATTAATGTGAAACAGTTTAACCAATACGCATTACATTACTGCTGCTGGGCCCCAAGGACTTGACTAATCACTCGTGCCTTTCGAGAGTGCCAGGAATCACCTTGGGAGCCATGGAAGGAAAAAAACCCTCATTATGTTATTTGTAAAGCACTTTGAAAGCCCTGAGTAAGATGAACGAAACAAATCTTAAATTGCTAATATTACAGACAGCACTTTTCTGATTGGTATGTTCATGATTATTTTGTTGTCTGTTCCTACCTTTATTGACAAAAAGACAGGGTAGTAGGAATTAACATTTGTTTAAGTCTTCCTAAAATAACCAGAAAAATAAAGAGAAAGCAGTAGCTAACTGGATTCTCAAATGTATCCATTTGAAGAAATCTCTAGAATTTATTTCCTGAGAATGAGGGAATTGCTGTTTTGGATTTGTCTTTGGGGCCTACTTATCTCAAACGATTTGAGGATATAATTCTCGTCTATGAGGCAATGTCAGCCCTTTCCACTTTCCTTCAGGCTATGCTGCCATGGGTTTAGTGAGCAACAAAGAGGCAAATACTGGAAAATTCTTATGCTCCCTCCTCTTAAATTTTCATTGGATTTCTTATGGAGTGTGTGGGTAGGTGGGGTGGGTAGAGATGATGCCTAACAGATGATGCCTAAAGGTGGGTAAAGGAATAACGGGAAAAGTGGAATAACCTAACTGACATCTGCTATTTACCATAACACCTGGGCAAAGGATGAGCAATGGGAAAGAAAGGTTGGTTGTATTTCTTTTCTGAGATACTTTTTAATGTGCTTTCCCCATCTCCTAGCAGAATTAGTCAGTGCAACCCCAAATGACATATGGGAAAAACAAAAGTTAAGGCTTTGGTAAAATTGTAGAACCAACAACTTCATTATTATATCATAGTCAGTCTCCTTTTAGTCTGCCGGTTCAGTTAAATTTAGAGTAATTTAAAAAATTATCTTACAGATATATTTTCTCCTTCTGAATCTGAGAGTGACCATCCAACTCCTTTTCTTGGGCAAAGCGTACATTGGGCTCATGGAGCAATCTTTGAAATGTTGCTCCTATCTGTGCCCTCCTTTCTAAGAGCCACTTCCCTAATTCAGGTCATCATTATCTTTTACTTGGGTTATCAAGGGTGCCTGCTTACTGGCCTCTTTGCAGCTGCTCTTTCCTCTACAGAACCACAAAGTCATTTCTTACCAGAGATACGTGATCTTGTTACACCTCCGCTATATCTCTGCTTTAACATTTTCAGCAATGCATTCTCTCTACTGCAAAGCAAGCTCCAAAGAAAAGATTTAAGGCCCTCTATCTGTCCCCAATCTACATGTCCAGGCCCACCTTCTACTCTACCTTCTGTGCTCCTTAGGATTCCTAAATCCACCTGGGCCTTGTGCTTTGTTCCTCTTGTAATCCTCCTTTTTTCTGCATTTCTTTTCTTTTTTTTTTTTTGTGAGACAGGGTCTCATCCTGTCACCAAGGCCAGAGTGCAGCAGCGCAGTCTCGGCTCACTGCAACCTCTGTCTTCTGAGTTCAAGCGATTCTCCTGCCTCAGCCTTCTGAGTAGCTGGAATTACAGGCACCCACCAACATGTCCTAATTTTTGTATTTTTAGTAGAGACAGAGTTTCATCATGTTGGCCAGGCTGGTCTCAAACTCCTGACCTCAAGCAATTCACCTGCCTCAGCCTTCCAGAGTGCTGGAATTACAGATGTGAGCCACTGTGCCTCGTCCCTCTGGTGATCCCCTTTTGACTATTTCTATGTATTGTGCAAAGCCTGGCTCAAATCCTATCTTCTTAATGATCCTTTCTCCAATTCCCACAATGGAATTCATCTTTTCTCTGAAAAGTTTAGGCACTTTACATTTTCTTATTTCATTTGTCACAATCCCTCATATGTTACCGTTATTTGTGTGTCTCATCTTCCCTACTAGACTGGAAGCAGAAGCAGTGGCATCCTTGCATTTCTCCCAGCACCTGGTACAATGCCTTTTATATGGTATATGCTTATTAAATACTTGCTGAATGCACATGAACTCTGTTTTTCCTATACTCCACAAAAAACCCTAAAAACTTAATTTTAGCCAAACTCTCCTTCTTTCTTCTGCAACTGAGTTGCCTCATTTTCCATGTTTTTATCTGAGGAGCTCAAAGGAGTGAGTAGTATCTGAAATGAAGGCAATTCAAGGGAGAAAGGGTACAGACAAGGGCTGGAGTGACACACTAGAGGCTTCTGAAGACTTTGTTGTTAATAAGCAGAAAGCACACATAGCCTCCAAGGAAATGTGAAATAACTTTCCAGAATTAAAAATTGTTCTTGCCGGGTATGGTGGCTCACACCTGTGATCCCAACACTTTAGCAGGCCATGACACTTGGATCACTTGAGCCCAAGAGTTCGAGACAGGCCTGGGAAACATGGCAAAACCCCATCTCTACCAAAAAATAAAAATAAAAATAAAAATAATTAGCTAGGCATGGTGGCATGCACCTGTAGTTCCAGCTACTCAGAGACTGAGGCAGGAGGATTGCTTGAGCCCAGGAGGTCGAGGCTGTAGTGAGCCACAATCACACGACTGCACTCCAGCCTAGGCTTCAGAGAGAAAACCTTTCTTTTAAAGAAAAAAAAAAAGTTGGTTTTAGGCTCTGGATAGCTTCCTAGAAGACCAGCATATCAGTAAGGATTGGTTTCATCTGTATATGCTGGGAAACACAAACAAACAAACAAAAAACCAGAATAATAGGGGTTTAAACAAGCTAGAAGTATATTTCTCTCTTACATAAATAAAAACAAAAACAAAACAAAATGAAAAACCCCACAAAGGTAGGCAGTCTAGAGCTGTTAGATGAGTTATTTGGTGTGAGGTACTGAGATTCCTCTCATCTTTTTCTTCTGCCATTCTTAATGTATCACCTTTTGGTCCAAGAAGGTTGCTAGGTCTTCTTCGATCTCACTGGTGTTCAGCCAGCAGGAATGAGGAATGGGGGAAAAAAGGTGTGTTCTCTCTTTTAGGAGACTTCCCAGAGGTCACTCAGTGTTTCTAGTTGTATTGCATGGGTAGAAATCTAGTCTTGTGGTTACACTTAGCTGTGAGAGAGAAGGGAAACACAGTCTTTTAACTGGGTTTCCAAAAAACAAAAGAGGAGAATGAATACTGGGTAGCAACTAGCAGTGTCTGACAGAGCCAGCATCAGGCCTTACATGGCTTCTTATATTCCTTTAGACAAAATACAGCATTATGTACAAAAGTAACCTTTCAAGAAAAAAAATTGGTAAAGGAAAAAAAAAAAAAAAAAAGAGCAAGCCAAGCTGGGAATAAACAGGTTCACCTAGGATAAAGGCCCCTTGATAAAATGACAAAAGGTGACCAAGTAAGGCTTTTCCCCTCCCCACACTCCTACAACCCATTCTCCCTCCCTCCGGTCTTCATGTCCCTTAATCCTCACATCCACACCGTGACGCAAGTATTGCTATTACTAAGCCAATCATACAGATGAGGAAACTGAAGTCCAGGAAGATTCAGTGGACTTCTGCCTGTACTGCAGCAAAAATTATATAAATTTCAGAATGTTTTCTAATTAGATTTGTTCTTAATTTTGAGTATAGATCACTGTAATTAGTCTCTAAAGAATAACCTATTATAAACATATTTCATTTATCACTGGAAGTAGATGATTTAATGTGGAATATTAGAAAAGACTCTAGATTTGTGGCTTTCAATATTTTAGGGTCAATCAACTGCTTTAAACTCTTCTGATTCAGTAAAGTCCTCTAAGCCATGCTGGAGTTCTCCAGCTCGGTTTTTAAGTACATAGAAATTTATTTTTATTAGTCACCCCAAACATATGAACGCTGAGGTGATTGTACTTATTCAATACCAGTGACTTGAAAATTAAAAGACTAGAATAAATAAGGACTTTTACTTTTTTACTTTATATGGTTTTGACCTATTAGAAATTTTTAACAACAGTGAATTGCATATATAATAAAACTTTTAATTACAAAATTATAGGAAAAATGATGGCATAAAATGCAAGGTAGCTATCATTATCAATGGCATTTTGTTTTTTACAGAACTTCTAGAGAAATCAGGAAGACGACTTCAAAAAAAATGATATGATGTCTCCCAGTGGAGACAGGGCACGAGGTGAGTGAAAATTGCAAAGAACTGGTTTCTAATAAGAACACAGGCAAACTGAGAGCTTAGATTAAACCAGTGATCATTCTTGAAGCAGAAGTATTATAAATTTCTTTGTAGAATTTTATAACCCTTCTTGGCTTGAAAACCATCAAATAAGCAAATTGTGAGATTACTTAATTAGCTAGCAGTAAGGGGAAACAGCCACCTTCCAAACCAGCCACATTATATCAGACTTGACTGCATATAAGAGTGCTTACTGACAGCATTGAGACAAGAATGAACTATGTTGGGTTTTGTTTGTTTGTTTTTGTTTTTGAGATGGAGTCTCGCCCTGTCGCCTCGGCTGGAGTGCAGTGGCATGATCTCAGTTCACTGCAACCCCTGCCTCCCAGGTTGAAGCAATCCTGCCTCAGCCTCTCGAGTAGCTGAGATTACAGACACGCACCACCATGCCCAGCTAATTTTTGTATTTTTATAGAGATGAGGTTTCACCATGTTGGCCATGCTAATCTCAAACTCCTGACTTCAAGTGATCCACCTGTCTCAGCCTCTGAAAGTGCTGGGATTATAGGTGTGAGCCATCACATTCAGCCATACTATGTTTTAATGAAGTTCTATTTTGGATGTCTTTGGTGATTGCAAAAAACTTTAGGAAAGACAACTTTTACTTTCCATTGAAGTGATAGATTTTGAGTCCCTAAGTGCATTCTGGGTTTTTTCACTTAATAATAATGTGGGCTAGTAACTATTATGCCCTCTTGACAGTTGAGGGAGCATAGGCTTAGGAAGATTAACCCTCCCAGGTCACAAAATGAAATAAGTAGCAGAGCTGGGATTGGAAGCTAGATGTCTGACACACTTACGAAAAATGTCTCATAATTTAAAACATTATTTTTAAACTTCAAAACCCAAAAGTGCTCATTGTAAAACAAAATACAAACATGATTATGACAGAAGAGTTTAAGTAGGATTTAAAAGCCCATCCTACCCCGAACCCCACCCCTCTTTCCAATGTTACTAGTTTAGTATAAATCCTTCTGTATCTTTCTTTTTGCCCAGTGTACTTTCCATAGTACACTCAGCAAAAAGAAAGATACGGAAGGATTTTCACAGTATCACACTTGAAAGCATGAAAAGTATCCAATTTTTCACAGTATCATACTTCCTATTAAATAAAAAAACAGAGGAGATTGAGTTTACTATATATCTTTACTGAAATAAGCATCTACCTCTAAACAATAACTGAAATGCTCATTCAGCTGACATCAGGCATCTATCTGTAGAGACTCAAAGAATAATAGAATTCACTTGCTGTCTCCCAAGGACTCATAATCTAGTGCAGTGGTTTCTAAGTTTATTTTTGAGAGCGTAATTATAGACTCCTTTGAGACTGATGTGACTCTGAACTCTTTCCTGAGAAGAAAATGAACCTATAAAATTTTGCCTATAATTTAGAGGATTCCTGGAAACCTTGAGAGTATTGGACCCCAATCTTGTAGAAGTGAGACTTTTAAATTTATAGTTTGATAGAAATACTATAATGGAAGTGTAGACAAGATGTGACCACAGCACAGACAAACAGGGTTTAACTCTCCTGGGACATATCAAGAAAGACAGGGAAGAATGACATTTGCACAAAATATTGAAGGACACTAGGAGTTTGACAGCTAGCCTGGTGCAGGGGAAGAATGTCCACTGAGGGAACAGCCCCAGAGGCTAGAATGGATGGGGAAACATAACTGTCTTTGTGATAGGAGCCCAGTGTGTGTATGGGAGTGACTAAAGATGAGTCTGCAGAGCTGGGCAGAAGCCAGAGCACAAAGGGGTTTGTCCATTGGGCTAGGGCATTTGAACTTTAGGAATCACTGAAGGATTTTGATAAAGACTTTCAGAGGTGGCAAAAAGTCTATATTAGTGCATGTTTAAATAAATCATCATAGGAATAATAATTTGGATGATGGAATAAAATATAAAAAGTAGATAAGATCATTGGATTCTGATTTTGGAGGGGATTATTGACTAAATGACGTATTATTTAAAAGATATATTGCTAAAATCAAATAGAATTGATTGGAAAGCCATTGCTTTTATAAAGGAAGTTGGGAGAATAAAGTTCTGAAACTGTATTTATAAGATAAAAGGGTGATTTTCAAACACAAAATTTGGGCAGCAGATTGACTCCTTGGCTGCAGGAAGTCCCATGCACAGTCAAGCTAATGTCAGTCACTCAAGGTGGGTCATTCACTCCTGATTCAGTCACTGTCATGCCCTCTGCTGTCTTCCAGGAGCTCCAGATGGGCCATGTGACCTCCCATTGACCCTTCCACCTACAATGAGCAGGAAAGAGAAAGAGGGTACAGTGGTTCAGGTTTTTAACATCTCTGCATTAACCATGTATTGCTTTTATGATTGAGATTTTAAAGCAATGTAGTGTAAAGCAAGGCTTACAAATAACATCATAGCTGGTTTATTTCTATTTGGCTGTTCTTTACCTAATATACTTAAAAAAAGGAAAATATTAGTCTTACATCCGACTTCTTGGCAGTGGCTTCAAAAAGTCTCAAGGACATTTCACTTGATAAATACTTATTATTTATTATTCATTTAATTTTTTTTTACTTATCAGATACCGTAGAGACTTGGAAAAGTAAACTGTGCATATATTGCATATGCTACTTTACATGTATAATGTATCTTATAAATTTTCTTTTTAATACAAAGAATCATTTGGTCTTTGCCAAAGGGTAGTGCTCTGAAAGATTTCTCAGACATGTTTAAATAGTGAGCTTTGCTAAACCAAAATTTACAATTTAGGTGAAATAGCCTTATTTTTCCAGCTTGCCTTTTCCAACTCATTAATTTTTTTAAATGGGTCTTCTTGCTATTAATATGAACAAATAAAGTTCTGTGGAGTTTTTTAGGAAAAGAAATAATTAATAATAAACATCTCCTGGAATTAAATTCAACTTAGACTTGTGTTGAGTGCCCACTGCAAATAATCCCCATGTCAGAGAAATGTGAACAAATGATTTAAATGTAGTTATCTTTAAAACTCAAGCTAATTTTGCACTCCCCTCTATAAAATATCTAAGAATTAAAAATATTTGATAATTTTTTAAATTGCTGAAAATTAAGTAAAATTGCTACTATAAAGAGTAAAATTGCTATTATGAGGAGATATGCCCCATTTATCCTGAGGCTTCAAGTCCAGCACTCTAGGATCATAAGATATTATGCTCAGAGAAATAAGCGAGGCACCAAACAGCAAATACAACATGAGCTCACTTATATGTGGAATCTAAATAGTCAAACTCATAGAAGTGGAGAATAGAACGAGGCTGGGGGTGAATGGGTGAGGGGTGGAATGGAGACATGTTGGTCAAAGTGTACAAATTTCAGTAAGGCAGGAGGAATACGTTTTTGAGATCGATTGCATAGCAGGCTGACTTTAGTTAGCATATTGTATATTTCATAAATTTGAAATGTTCTCACCACAACAATGACAAGTATAGGAGGTGACAGGTAGGCTAATTAGCTTGATTTACTCATTCTACATTGTATACACCTATCATAACATTGCACTACATTTCCTAGATAAATACAATTATAATTTGTGAATTAAAAAAGGAAATTTTAAAAAAGAATCATTACCTGCCAGGTTAAATGGATATGAATAAGAAATAGTCAGCTGGGCACAGTGGGTCACAACTGTAATCCTAGCACTTTGAAAAGCTGATGGGAGAGGATTGCTTGAGGCCAAGGAGTTCAAGACTAGCCTGGGCAAGAAAGCGAGACCTTACCTCTACAAAAAATAATTTAAAATTAGTCTGGTATGGTGGCAGGCACCTGTAGTCCCAGCTACTTGGGAGGCTGAGGTAGGAAGGTTGCTTGAGCCCAGGAGATCGAGGCTGCAGTGAGCTAGGATTATACACTCGCTCCAGATTGGGCAACAGAACAAGATCCCATCTCTAAAATAAATAAGTAAATACATAGAGACTATTGCCTAAAACTCCTGGCAGGAAGAAACACTAATAATGCAGTCTGAGAATGTGGTAGAACAGGGATTGACTGATTATGACTTAGAGGTTAGGGGCAAGCTTCATAGAGAGAAAGGTGCTTGAATTGAGCCCTGAAGGATAAAAAGTATTTCATTAGATAAAGATATTTGAAGGATGGAGGATAGGCGGAACAAAGGCACAGCAGCATGAAAGTGTTTGGTGAAAGGCGTGAACTGAGATCATCTACCCATGTATACACATATACTAACTACTATAAAGTTTTGTTTGAATTACTCTGAAATAAAGGAACAAACCAAGTGAGTTCAGCTAGTCCAGTCACGAGCTGTTACAAGTAGCAAAATCATATCAACCAATGTCTAATTGGCTACAGGGACACACCTTAAGCTCCACCCAGACAACCTCTCAAGGTTCTGATTAGAGAAGCAGTCCCACAGGATATGGAGACGTAGTGATTTGCAGAGCAGATGAGCCGGAGTTAGTGAGATGGGGTTTCTGAGATTTAAGATTAAGGTCCCACAGACAGAGCTGAGTCAAGATAACTCAGGCAGGCTAAAAATTTGCTTAGACGGATTTTCTTTCAATATCTCACACTTAAATGAGGAGAGGGTGATCTCTTCCTGGAGGAAATGTGGAAGAGGAGGCTCCTAAAAGCAGTACTCAGTTTCCTGTTCAGGATCAATAACAGTTCAGCTCTGGCCTCACAGCGGCTGTACCACTCAACAAAATGAAAATCCTGCAAGAAAACCAGACTCAGCCTTCTTTAAGGCTTTTTGGTGACCATGTGTTGCTACTCAAGCCTGCATTTAGGATACCCCACTCTCATGCCAAACACACACACACACACACACACACACACGCACACACACACGCACACACACACACACACCCCTACCAGAAGGAAGCATTCATTTCAATCACACAAGAGTCTTTCCTTAAGAGAACTCCTGATAAATCTAGTTTTCTCCTTCTCCCATTTCCAGGGATGTT